GCTGTGATGATACAGCTTTAACAAACATTGACAGCTGTCCATGAGCTCTATGAGAGCGGAGGATGATGAGCAGAGGAGGATGATACTTCTTCAGCCCCCCTCAAGCTGATAGGGGAGGAAACCACTAACAGCTTGTCACGGAGATAATGAAATCTGGAAGGAGGAAGAGGCTTTGTGAAAATATCAGCTACCTGATCCATGGTTGGAATATACTTAAGCTCAATCTGTTTGGCAACCACTTTTTCGCGAATAAAATGACAATCGATTTCTATATGTTTGGACCTTGAATGAAAAACAGGGTTGGATGCTAAGGCCATGGCAGATAAACTATCACACCATATGACAGGAACAGGAGAAGATGAAACACAAAAGTCTTTAAGCAATTGTTGAATCCAAGTGAGCTCGGCTGTAGCATGAGCTAAGGCGCGATACTCAGCTTCAGTGGATGATCTAGAAACAGTTGCCTGCTTTTTAGCCGACCATGAAATTAAGTTTGAGCCAAGATATACACAGTAGCCTGATGTTGATCTTCGATCAAGACTATCACTGGCCCAGTTAGAGTCAGAGAAGGCAGAAAGATCAAAAGAACTGGGAGTGAAAAAGAGACCATGATGTAGAGTCCCTTTGACATATCTAAAGAGCCTCTTAACAGCATGAAAATGGGCATTGGTAGGGAGATGCATAAACTGACAAGCTTGATTAACAGCAAAGGAGAGATCAGGTCTGGTGATAGTCAAATATTGCAGTCCACCAACCAAACTTCTATATAGTGATGGCTGAGCAAAAGGCAGGGAATCTGTTGGAGAACACACAGCTTTAACTATCATAGGAGAGGAGCATGGTTTGCAGTCGGCCATTCCAGCTTTATTCAATAATGCAGCAGCATATTTAGCTTGAGATAAAAAGGAACCATGCGCATCAGATGTAACTGAAATGCCCAGAAAATAAGACAAATGACCAAGGTCTTTCATGGAAAATGACGTGTGCATGTGCTGAAGAAGCAGATTAATGAAAGCAGAATCATCACCAGTTAGTAAGATGTCATCAACATATACCAAGAGCAGAGTGAGGTTTGTAGAAGTTTTTCTGATAAAAAGAGAGGCATCAGACAGACTGTTGGTGAATCCTTGAGAGAGAAAGAAAGTTGAGAAGGTGGAGTACCAAGCCCGAGGGGCTTGCTTGAGACCATACAAGGCCTTCTTGAGTTTGCAAACATGTGTAGAAGATTGTTCAAACCCTGGAGGCTGCAGCATATAGACCTCCTCTTGAAGTGTACCATGAAGAAATGCATTGGAAATGTCAAGCTGTTTGATGGACCATTGAGCTTGAAGAGCAATACTCAAAAAGATACGAATGGTGGGTTGTTTAGCCACAGGACTAAAGGTCTCATGGAAATCAATTCCTTCTGTTTGCAAAAATCCCTTGGCCACCAATCTAGCTTTATAACGAGCAATGGTACCATTTGAATCTCTTTTAATGCGAAAAACCCATTTACACCCAATGGCAATTTTATGAGAAGGAAGAGGAACAAGATCCCAAGTGCCTTGTTGTTGAAGAGCTTGATATTCTTCTTGCATGGCTTGAAACCACACAAGAGAGTGAAGAGCATCATGAACGGATGTAGGTTCAGTTTCAAGAAGAGAACTTTTAGCAGAAAAACAGTGGGAAAGTCTATGTTTAGATCGAGTAATCATGGGATGGATGTTAGACACAGAGGAAGAAAGAGAAGGAGGAGGTAAATCAATAGTAATAGAGGAAATAGGAATAGGTTGAGGTAGAGGAAGAGTAGGCTCAGATCTGGAAGAATGCTCAGCAGGAGATGAAACAGATGATGAAGGAGACTGAGTTGGAATGGCAGCTGAAGAACTGAGTGCAGCAAGCCAGAAAAATGATGTAAGGGTAGATAAATCTGAAGTAGATGAAGAAGAGGACACTGTGGACTGCTGAGAAAAAGGAAAACATGATTCATTAAAAATAACATGCCTAGAAATGTAGATTTTTCCAGAAAGAGGCTCAAGACATCTATATCCCTTAATAGTAGGATGGTATCCTAAGAAAACACAAGACATGGATTTTGGTGCTAGCTTGTGTGGAACATAAGGTTTTAACCAAGGGAAACACTGACAGCCAAACACTTTGAAAAGAGAGAAATCAGGTATGGTATGAAATAACATCTCAAAAGGTGTCTTGTGATGTAAAATACTAGAAGGCATTCTGTTAATGAGGAATGTGGATGTGGCAACAGCATCAAACCAAAACTTAATGGGAACAGATGAGTGATGAAGCAATGTGATAGTAGTTTCAATAATGTGTCTGTGTTTGCGTTCAGCTATGCCATTTTGGGCCTGAGTATAAGGACAACTACTTTGATGAACAATGCCATGAGAAGACAGCAAAGTATCAATTCTTTTATTGACAAATTCAGTGCCACAGTCAGTCCTAAGTATTTTAAGAGAAGTCTGAAATTGATTTTCAATATATGCTTTGAATATAAGCAATTTATCATACACCTCACTCTTGTAGTTCAAAGGATAAACCCAAGTAAATCTACTATAGTCATCCACAAACAAAACATAGAAACGAAATGGAGCATCATCTATTGTAAAGAGACCCCATACATCACTATGAACTAAGGCAAAAGGACAATTGACAAAAGTATTAGACAATGAGAAAGGAAGTCTATGAGATTTAGACATATTACAATCAAGGCAAGACAAGGCCTTATTTAAAGACAATTTATTTGGTAAAACATCAGCCAGATGCTGAAGCTTTAAAGAAGATGGATGGCCTAATCTTTGATGCCACAGCAAATCAGGCACAGATGCTGAATTGCTGGACTGAAACAGAGTTGTTGGAGTGCTATCAGACAGAGGAGCAGTAGTGCTAGATTGAAAAACTTGAGGAGAAGAGCATGGTTCAGATGAAGGAATGAACTGGTAAAGACCATTGATGTTAACACCTCTATGCAGAATCTTGTTCGTGCATTTGTCCTGAATGACAAAAGTATTAGCATCAAAAATAACAAGGCAGTTGAGGTCTTTGGTGAGTTGATGCACAGATAAAAGGTTTGAAGAAATAGCTGGAACATGAAGAAGATTGGAGAGAGGAAAAGAATAATGTGGAGTTGGCAAAATACCTTTACCTATATGACTGATTTGTAAGGAAGAGCCATTACCAACTTGAACATGATCCTGACCTTGATAAGGCTGAAATTGTTGCAGATTAGTCAAGTCATTGGTCAGATGATTGGTAGCAGCAGAGTCAACATACCAAGGAGGTATGGAAGGATCAGAAGAGGACTGAGGAACTGAAGCAGCATATGACTAAGGAACTGAAGCAGCATAAGCCTTTGACTGAGAGGAACTGCTGCCAGAGAAAGGCTGAAATGTAGGATCCAGTCGATGCCAGCAATCAAAAGCAGTATGATTCCAACCTCCACAAATCTGGCAGCCAGAGTTAGATCCAGAGTTGAAGGAAAAAGCTCCTCTGGATCTGTTATTATTATGATTGTTATTGTTGTATCTGTTATTGAATCTGCCACCACGAGAAATATTATATCTGCCTCTGAAGCCACGAGAGGAACCTCTGCCCCTTGCAGAGTGAAAACCTCTATTAACAGAATTTGAAGAATCATAACCTGATGAAGATGATCCTTGTGAGGCAGAATAGGCAACATGAAGATCAGTGCCAGGAGACTGTTTAAGTTTCTGTGCAATATGAATGGATTCGGAGCATAATAATGAACACAAATTTTCCATTTTGATAGGCTTAGATCGAGTACGAATAGAAGTTTTGAAAGCATCATATTCCTCTCGTAGACCATTCAAAGTGAAGAAAACCAGATCTTCATCATCAATTTTTGCAGAAGCTAAAGCTAGTTGTGCTGCAAGATCTTTAATTTGAGAGAGATAGACCTCCATTGAAGATGATTTCTTACGAAGAGTTTGAAGTTTGGTTTTTAGTTGATGGATATGAGAGCGTGAAACTGAAGTAAACTGCTTCTCTAAGAATTGCCATACCTGATCACTTTGAGTCAGATGAAGAACAGATGAATAAATGGATGAAGATAGAGTTGCAGTTAGACAAGTAAGCAAATGTGCATCAACCAATTGCCATTGCACATAACTTGGATTTGAAACAGGTTTTCCAGATTCATCAATGAGGTCTGGAGATGGACATGGATGAGATCCATTAACATGATCAAGAAATCCAGATGCTCTAAGCATATTTGTCATCTGAGATTTCCATATGAGGAAATTGTTGGATTCGAGCTTCACTGTAATGAGAGAGTTGAAATTTGAAAGTAGTGAACTAAGATTTGATGGCAGGGAAGAATCAGCCATTGGAGACCTGTGGATCTTGCTCACGAGAGCTTCATGGCTCTGATACCATAATGAGTTTCTTTGAATTCAATATTTTCATTATATCAGATCTGGAACTTACATTGATTTATATACTGTAAACCTAAACTGACTAACTAACTCTTGTAAACCTAAATTGACTAACTAACTCATAACAGATTTGCTAACCATTACAACTAATGCTCCTAGAATTACAGAGCTATGATGATGCAGCTTTAACAAACATTGACAGCTGTCCATGAGCTCTATGAGATGGTGAATTGATGAGCAGAGGAGGATGATACTTCTTCAATTTGTCAGGAAAATGCTATGCTTATAGGATTTTTATACAAAACAAAATTCAAAATTCATGATGTATCAGTGACATTTTTTAAAATATAAGTCATCCAACTAGGTCTTTTAATTTGAAATGAAAATCAAAACTTGTCACATCATTTTGTATTACTTTTATGTATAATTTGTGTGTTTGTATAGTACTGATCTATTCGTTTAGGCACCCATATATATATGTGTGTGTGTGTGTATAGCATCCAATGAGTTTAGCCCCCTGTGGATGATTGCTGGGTGCACCACTCACTTGCATGATCCGAAAAGCAAATTACAAATACAGACCAAGGCAAGAAAATGAAAGTCCTTGAACTTTTATTTAAGACCCAAAGCTATGGGCCCTTGTAGTTTATCAATATTTACAAGAACTGAAGGTTTGCAAACCTCTAATATGATACCTGATTTGTTTTATGTCACAGAAGATCTATTGTGTGGGAAGGCTGAGAAACTGTTTACTTGAAACTGGAATGAACTTGACAAGCCAACCTATTGGCCAAGACATTGCAGCAATCACAATGCACGCGACCCATTGCCCCCAATTCAGCCTCTCAGTATCGGCAAATTTCTTTAGAAACTCCACCATGACCACTTGAAGGACTACTGTCATCCCAATAATGCCTAGAAAAAGTTTGTTCTTAACTATCCCCTTAAATATATTCTTCTCCTCCATCTTCCTTGCATTGAACTCGTTAAAAACTTGGCACAGGACGAAACTATTGAACACGAGTGTGTCCTTGACGTTCTTGTTCACGCCAAAGATTGTGCTTCCCTTGAACTCTAGGATCAGCAAAACAGTTATTTGATACAAGGCCTGAGCAATGAGGTTCCTCCACATGATCTTTGTTATAAGCGGTTCAGTTCGACCCACAGGTTGCTTTGTCATTAGATCATTAGTTGGTTGCTCAGTGGCCAGTGCTAATGCCCCCAAAGTATCCATTATGAGGTTCACCCACAGTAGCTGGACTGCTGTTAGCAGAACTTCACCAGACGATATTGCTGCGACGAAGTTGATGACAAGGGCAGCCACGTTGACAGTGAGTTGAAATTGGATGAACTTTTGAATGTTGTTGTATACGCACCGACCCCACTTCAAAACTGTCACCACCGAGGTAAAATTGTCGTCTAAGATGACTATATCCGAGCTCTCTTTTGCCACTTCTGTGCCTTGAATTCCCATTGAAAGTCCGATATCTGCTTCTTTCAGTGCAGGTGCATCGTTTGTTCCATCCCCTGTGACCGCTACCACATGTCCTTTCCGCTTCAAGCACTTTACCATCAGAAGCTTGTCAAACGGGGATGATCTAGCCATTACGCGGATTGTGTTTATCTTTTCCATTCTCTCTTCGTCCGAGTAATTTCTGAATGTCACTCCTTCGACCACTGCATTGTTCAAATCCTCATTGGGTTTGACAATCCCAGATTCGATTGCTATAGCTTTTGCAGTGAAGATGTTGTCTCCCGTAATCATTTTAACATCAACTCCGGCATCTCTGCAAGCTTGTACTGCTGCCCTGACACCTGGTCGACTAGGGTCCTTTAAACCAACAAGCCCTAACAAGGTAAGTCCAGTTTCTTCAATCTTTCTGCTGACCTCTACACTTTCATCTGTAACTTCTTTGTAACCAAAGGCGATGCATCGCAAGCTTTTAGCTGCCATATCTTTAATAATCATTTCAAACTGTGTTCTTTCTTCATCATTCATGGGTATAATATTCCCATTTTTGGTGTAATAATTTGAGCACATTGACAGAATCATCTCCGCAGCCCCTTTCCAATGCGCGTGAATTTTTTTTCCATCCATCCTCGTCAAAACCCCACTTCGTTTCTTCTCTGAGTTGAAAGCTTCTACTTGAAGAATTTTATGACCTTGCTTCAGCTCATCAATATCCATAGCCAAATCAAACACGACCCAGGAGAGGATTGCTGACTCAGTAGGGCTTCCAGAAATTTCAGGTATTGATGTGGATAACTGTCTATAGACTTCGCCAGTTGTATTTAAACCGACACCTTCATGTAGCATTTCAAGAACATTAGGGGCTATTTTTAATGATGCTTTGTCTGTCATTACCTCTTTTCCAAGCCAAAATTCTGTTACCTTCATCTGGTTTAATGTAAGTGTGCCGGTTTTGTCTGTGCAGATAGTGGTGGCCGAACCCATTGTCTCGCAAGCAGAGAGTTTCCGAACCATGGAATTCTCAACCATCATCCTCTTCATTGAATAAGCCAAAGTTAGAGTCACAGCCAAAGGCAAACCTTCTGGGATCGCCACCACAACAATCGTAACTGCCGCAGCAACAATCCGCACAACGGCATTCATGACATCATTCGCTTTAGGCTTGCCGTAGTTGCTACTGCATTTCTGGATGATTGGTGAATGATTTGAGAAGATATGAGAGAGAGATTTGCCTTAAATATTTTAATACATTGTCACATCGTTAGATTTGAAAAGTTGATCTAATTTTTTGGGTTTGAATAGCACTATTTATGTGACAATTTATTAGAATATCTAAGACAATTTTTTCTTCTCTAATCATCAGTTAATTATTTCTTGTAAACTTCAATGAATCTATAAAATGGACTTGTATATCATTTTTTATAGGGATAATTTGACTAATTTGAGTATAAAAAAAAATGCAAGATATAATTTTACCAAAGTAAATTGTGTGTTTTACATGACAAAATAGATATATAAAAAGAAAGGTCTGAACATCTCAGGTGATCTTCCAGGGGATTGTTAGCGAGTTCTTTTCCTTCGTTTGTCTTTGGTGGGTGATTCTAGATGAGTTGCCCTTCAAGTTAAAAGATATAGGGGACACTAGAATCAAGTGTGTGAATGAATGTACAATGAATAAATAATACTGTTACGTTCTTTGAATTTTTATTTTACATGTAAGATATTTATTTTTACTTAAATGCAAAATATTCATTCAGACAATTCAGGCGGAGTGTTTTTGTGTGGATCAAACATTTTCCATAATTAAATAACCAAATTTTAGGGACATTTTCCATAAATAAATAACCAAATTCATTTTAGGGAATTAAACAGTAGCATAACTTGTTTATAATTCACATTCCATACATACCTGTAACCTGAAGCGATTTCTTCGCGATCGAAGAGATCGTATGCCATACCGAAATAATCTGGGAACATTTCCGATAACTCTTTCTCTACATCTTCCTCCGTTTTCTTACTCTCTTTCTACGAATTACAAACCCAGACAAAATCAACTTCTTTTCTTTTTTTTTTCTCAATTATCAAAATCTCATTTTGATTATTTCACTCTCAATTGTGAATTTTAAGTTAATTTGCAATACGCTTCGGTCTATTTACCATCAATGATGCTTACGAAAATTTAAAATTCAAAGATCAAAGTAAGATATTGGTGAAAATATAAGAACCAAATTGAGTTTTTAATAAAAATATGAAAATTGTTTGCAGAACGACTATATGATAAGTTCTATCAATTTTATTGATTTTAAATGGACAAATTATTAATATTGTAATTTGAGCTACTTTATAAATAATTAATTATCACAATTGAAAGTGGAGGCAAAATGAGATTTTGGTGAAACTATTAGAATATTTAATTTAATCAATGTTGTACAGAGTTTAATAGAGCCTATTACTCACACATTGTTGATAAATGAAAATGTAAATAAATACGTTTAAAAAAAAGGTGAAATTATTGTTTCATATGAGTTTATTACACAAAGACCTCTTTACTCATTTAATCTATGAAATTGTACATCTTGATCTCTTTAACTATAAAAATATATTAGTTTTGCCATCTTCAAACCACTTCTAAAAAAGGTGAATTTGTACAATATTTATAATTGAGAGTATCAATATGTATGGATTGATAAATGAATGAGTAAAATGATATTCGTTAACAGTTGAAGGGATATTATGTAAGTAACTATTTCAACAAACTAACCCTTGAACGTAAACTTACACTGATGTGGACAATAGCATTCCTCACAAACTTGAAGACATCCCAGTCAGTTCGACCATATGGTATTCCGTTTTTTGTTGCATATCTTAAAATCTTTGCGTAGTACTCTTTAACTGGAAAGCCTTTTTTTTTTGATTCATAAACTTTAACGCCTTTAGTCCAATCATAAGGATGCCGACGATTTCCGTTTTCAATCCAATTATAGTAAACCTTTCTAGCATTATACTCCTTTTCATGACCTGGGTACCTTTCTAGAGTATCCATCGTAACCGGTTGAAAGAACCTTTCCATTGGAGTCATTAAAATGGGATGAAAGTACAATTTTGACAGACTCCGCCTGTATATACATTAAACCCATGTAAGTAAACACACTTATAGCACTAATAAAAAAAAAAAAAAATACAAAGACAATGAAATTTGTATTTTTATCATTCATAGTCATTTTTAATAAAATTTGTATTTTTGGAATTTACTTGTGTAGATCTATAAAACAAAGACAATATTGGATATGAAATTACGTTAAAAAAAATAACAAATGAAATTTTCTCTATTTTTAATTTGAGTAATTGTGAAATTTTGTAGTTGCTGTGAAGAAACTATGAAAGTCTGCTCATTTGATAAATTTATCTAATTTTTATTAAAAAAATGTTTGGAAGTTATAATTGAGTACCTCCAAATCCACCTCTAATGACATGGAGTAGACTATGTGAAGGGGACCTACACTCCATTCTTTATCTCTCTACTCTCTCTCTCTCTCTATTCTTTATCTCTCTACTCTCTCTGTCTCTTATCTCATTAGAAGTCAAAATGGAGATGGTGTATTAGAGGATGTGACATCACTCTTTTTATTAACCGTGAAAATTTCTATGTTTGAGAAATTAATATGAAAAATTATGTAATTGAGAAATTTCTTAGTTAGCAATGAAATTTCTTAGTTAAAAAGTGAAAATTTTCAGATTTTTTCGATTAAATTTTAAAAATATAAATTTTCTTAAAATGAATTTACTATACAAAAATATGAAATTTTAAAGTTTTGAATTAAAAAACATTACTGCCTCCAAATTGCTTATATACCTAATAACAGAAGTTGTATCAATCAAATGGTGATTCAATATACTTAGTAGATTAATAAAAATTTTATCGGATTTAATCTAATAAAATGATAGACAATAGCACCAATAAAAAAAATTAAAAATACACAAATTAGAGATAAAAATGAGATTATATAGAGCATTGCTCATAAAAAAAACTGACCATAAAAGGGAGAGGAAAAATGGAGATAGAAGTATAGAACTCTTACGCATTGTTGACTTTAGCGCTCTCATAAAAATGTTTCAATTCGACATGGTTCTCACGACGACCAATCACCTTCTCAAACAGAATCTTCAGATCGTTAAAATCCTGATATAAATTATTTTTGTGGGTTTCACACTCATTGTCACCCTCTAAAGGAGGACGAAACTCATTTCTTATGAAGGCAAATTTAGGCTTGTCATTCACAATCAAAATGTCTTTGATTGACAGACGTCCATGAGTGTGTCTTTGGCCATGAAGTTCACACATGCCAATTATAATGCCCCTGCAATAACATTTTATTAGTTTGTCATCTTCTAAATAAATGTACTTATTTAGGTAAATACACTTCTTTGGATCACATCATTTTTTATTTTTTTACACATATTTTCGTGAAAAATTAAAAAGTACACCTATTTAGATCATCTCATTAACTAGCTACTGCTACTACTATTACAACTGTTGTTGTTATTATTATTATTATTATTATTATTATCTCCTATTGATTGTTAAAAAGAAAAAAAAAATCAATTATTAACTAAAAAACTCATTTTATAGAAATATATAGCGGGTTTCCCTTTGCGCTCGAGCGAGTGCTTTTTGATGTTGTGTCTCGGCGCTCAAACAGGTCCAGTCTTCTGTGTTTGACGCTCGAGCATCCTATTCTCCGCTCGAGCGGGATAGTCGCATATCAGATGGCAGCTAGGTGGTTTTGAATCACTTTTCACATTTCCTTTCTCTCTCTTACTTTTCTAAACCCTCTTTTGAGAGCTCCTCTCTCTAGAATATACCTTTTCTCTACGGATTGATCTAGCTTGAGTGATCTACTTCCTTAGTGTCTTTGCAAAGAGTGTAGAGCTTGGCTTGGGCTTCCTATCAATCCGAGAATCTTGGGTTTTGGAGCATTTCGAGATTTCGTCAACATCTCCTTTGAGTTTCATCTTTTGAGGTAGGGATAACTACTCATTTTTATGGTCTTTGACATAAACTATTGGTCATTTTGATGTAATGTCGAAGTTGGATAATTTTGGGTGTTAGGGTTTCAAAATGAATAAAGAGGGGTTTTGTTATTTTGGCTCATAAATGTGTATTTTGGGTCTTAAAATGATAGTATTGATATTATTGAAGTTATTTTGGGCCTTTGGGTCAATATTGAGAAAATGGGGAAAAAGCCCTAAATTGTTATGACAAATGTAATTAGTTTGGGAAATTATGGAAACATGAAATTGAGTTGGGAATAATGAAATTGGCTCATTTTGTAGTAGAATGGTGGAGTTGGATTCATTAATCACTCACCTTTGAAATTGCTGATAATTTACCTGTTGGTGCATTTATTATCTGTTTAGAAATAATTGCTTTGGGCTATCGGTGGAGGATAGTCTTGATTGTTGTAGACACTGCATGATGATTAGGTGAATTAAAACTAATCAAGTTGAGTATTTGAATACATGGGTGCCGAATCTCGTGGATGAAATTTCCGTAAAATGGCCATTCGAAAATAATCGCACATGGGTGCCGAATCCCGCGGACCCAATTTCCGTAAAATGGCAATTCAAAAATATCTATACATGGGTGCCGAATCCCGCGGATGAAATTTCCGTAATATGGCAATCCGAAAACATCTATACATGGGTGCCGAGTCCCGTAGATGAAATTTTCGTGAAATGGCCATTCAAAAATAATCACACATGGGTGTCGAATCCCGCGGACGCAATTTCCGTGAAATGGTAGTTTGAAGTATTGTTGGCTTGAGATGTACTTTCGCTTAAGTTGTTCGGCCAGGTTCTGAGCCATGGTTATAAGTTGAGTTTTGTTAAGTGAAGGATTATGGAACTGGATTGTACTATATGATTGGTTTATATGAGTTAAACATTTATCAAGTGCTAATGTTTTAGTTATTGCTCATATTATGTTTAGCATATCTCTACTGGGCGTTGGCTCACCCTATATGGGACATCATTTTCAGGTACAGGTATTATGCCACCTCCAAGGACGTAGCTTAGGAGGCTGTCAGATTCCTTTTTGTCATTTTTGTTGTATTACATGTATATCAAGCCAAGGGCTTATTTTGTGTAGAGTTAGTACTCTTCTTTTTGTATCCAAGTGTTGACTTGAAAAGTTGTAAGCCTATAGGGCATTTACTTTTATTGTCAACATGTAATACATTTTGTAAGAATACTCTGATGATTGTAATATGAAATCTCTTCTATTTATCGTGAATGTATGTTATGATGGGTTTATTTTTGAGGGCGTTACACCCCGAGCCCAAGAAAGCGATGAGTGGCTCGAACAAACTGAGCAGATGAGGACAATGGTGGCACTTGAACCGTCCAGGCTTGTAAGCTTTTTAGTGCTTACTCCAGCCTTGATGAGAGTCGAAGGTCCAACGACAATGGAGGCACTTGAACTGTCCAGGTGCCATTGTTAAGTTGAGGGTGTGGGAGATGGGCTGTGTGGTGCTTTTATTTATAGAGAAAACCATAGGCCTATTTGTGCGATATTCTTTCTTTTTTGAGAACATGTGTGATATTCAAAAAATTATTTGTTGGACCAGGGGCACCACGTGATTATGTTTCTGGCTAATCACAAATCATCATGCCTTCTATTATATTCTCTAATCATCTAACACAAAACTGTGAACTTCACCTCCTCTACTAATCACAATACACATAAAAACACCACGTGACTACCCAATAACTTCTCCGAATATTCCCCTTATAACACAACATTTGTGAAGGTACTTGATATTAGGAACAAGAATGTACAAATAATGTTGATATTAGGAAGAAAAATGTAAAAGAAGAATACGGAAGAAACTATGTCAATTTAATTATATAATAATTAGCATAATACCCGTGTTATGCACGATCGTAAATAAATAAATTAAAATTAATTTTGAAATCAAAATGTGAAAGAAAAAGCTATTTATAATCATATAAATTTCAATTATTTTATCTCTATTACATTTAATTTTTTTTTTTATTTTTTGTTTTTATCTCCCTATTAAATATATAAGGGTTTGGATTATCTCAAGTTAACCATTCAACTTGAGAAAGTGTTTGGGTTGATGGGTTTATTTTAGAACTAACCTTGGTGATCTGAACCATTCACATTATAAAAATATTTTATACTACAATTGGTAAAATTAAAGACAAGTAAGAGCATCTCCAACTTTACTCTTTTTTTTCATTAAATTTGAGTAAAAGTCTCATCTGATATCGCACGTTCCAACGAAGAATTTTAAATTTTCATCAACTCACTGATCGACTAGGAGGACGACCGAGAGGATGTTCGATTGATCAACTGGCCAATGTCAATTGCAAGGCAGTGGATGTCCAGGGGACAACCAGCCGGTCGTCCGGTACTCCTGCAGTAATGGCTATTTACAGTAATTTAACGAAAGGCTCCACGCATCCTTAATTTGATGAAAAAGTTAAGACATCTCCAATTTGATACTGGTTTGGTGTTAACATTGAAGCATGTAAACTGGAGTCTTTTTTATCAAATTTAAATTTGATGAAAGAAAAAATGAAGTGTTGGAGCCACTATGATAATGTAATATAGAAATTGTACTTACGTTATAACATGAACACATTCTGTCTTTGGAGTTTCATGATTATAATTAGCCTTATGTTAGAATTCATTCAATAATATAACAAATCACATTTATCAATTACCAAATACTCTATATTTTTTTTACCCAATAAAAAATAGTTTATATAAAAAAATTGAAAAAGTAAAATAAAAAAGAGAAGGAAGAGTGTAATCTTCTTTCTCGAGCTACTCCTTAAATCGACCTGTGCCTAACATATGCTTTAAAATTTCCACATCATTTTTTGCACACATGAGCATATTTTTCAAGTCATTCTCTTTATTAACCTCACAATTATTGACTAATAAATCTCAGTATGATATTAATAAATTTAATAATGCTACGTTTTTCTTAATAAATTGAAAATTTCAATAAGGGTGTATGATTTCTAAGTCTCAATTATGTATTAGATTAAAAACATATTAATACTACACTCAAATAATC